ATACAAACAACACAAGGGTTATCCACAACACTTACGTCACCCCAGTCAGAGCGGCTAACATGAACAAGTCTGACGAAAAATGTTATAGAGGATTTGGAGAGATAAGAACCCATATTCAATGTTGGTGGAAATGAAACTTAATACCACCATTGTGGAAATCAGTTTTAAGATTTCTCAAAAAAATTAAAAAATAGATTTACAATATGACCCAGCTATTTCACTCCTAAGCATATGCACAGAGAACTCCATACCATACCACATGTTTATGGGAGCCTTGTTAACTATAGAAAAGGACTGGAATCTACCTCATTTCCCATCAACAGATGCATGGAAAATAAAACACTATATACACACATATGAGTACTATGTGAATGTATGAAGTTAAAAGTTGCAGGAAAATGGGTGGACTTAGATGTATATATGTGAATATGTAAACAAATGTTCACACGAGTAACGCTATACCTGAACAAAGGAAGAAGAAAGGCTGAGTGTATAAGGGACTGAGGGAGGACTAAACCTAAGTGAGAGACATGAGTTATGAAAGGGGGTATAAAGCGAATTGTTTTCCTGGATCTAACTCTGTCATAGAGGTATTTGGTTTTGGTAGTGGATAAATGCATAAAATATATTCATTACTGAAAATTTAATATGAAATCCCATAGTTTCTGTTCTGAATGTTTATTCTCATTGTACAGCAGTGTTGTATACACTTTGGGGCTGCTTAATTTTGGTGTGCGATGCTTTTGTTTATTTGCAACTTTATTATTTTGACAATAAACTGTTATTTTGATAATAAGCTTTATTATTTTGATAATAAAGTTTATTATTTTGATTATAAAGTTTATAAAATTAAAACAAAATCAACCTCCAGATACTTTGGGACCTAAGGGGTTTCTTTAGTGGTATGAAATTTATGCCCATAGTTATAAAGGTGATTAGAGCCTTAGGAAAATCACATAAATTCTTCCATTGTACTGTAGCATAGGATGTCCAAGTGGCTTGCTGAACTGATGGGTAAGAATGTGTATCATTGAGCTTTGGAACTACATATTCCTATCTGAAGAGTGATGAAGGGTATGGTAGAGAGTCCTAGTAAAATGACTGGCGGCTACCTGAGCTTGTGACCTCTTCTTCAGTCTGATTTTCTAGACAAGGATTACTAAGTGACAGTTTCTGTAGTGATGGACATGTTTCATTTCACACTGCCTAATACCATGGCTATAAACTACATGTGGAATATTACATTTGCTTCCCTATGATTGCTGTGATAAAATACCATGAGCAAGGGCAACTTAGAGTAGAAAGGGGTTTACTTTGGCTTACAGTTCTAGTGGAACAGCATCCATCATGGTAGGCAAGACGTGAAAACCATGGCAGGAGGAGCAGGAAGCTGCTGAACACACTACACACTTTCATCCTGTCACAGGAGGTACACATACACACACACACACACACACACACACACACACAGAGAGAGAGAGAGAGAGAGAGAGAGAGAGAGAGAGAGAGACAGAGAGAGGCAGAGAGAGAGACAGAGACAGACAGAAAGAGGGAGAGGGAGGTTGGAGGAGGAAGGGGGACAGAAAAAGGGAAGGGGGAAGGGAAGAAGGAGAGAGAACAGGAGGAAAGACATGGCTACAAATGCTCAAAGTCCACTCACCAGCAACATACTTAGTTCAGCAAGATTCTGCTTCCTAAACTCACCACCTTCCCAAACAGCATCACTAAGGGGATCAAAATGTCCAAATACATAAGCCTATGGGAGACATATGTCATTTAGAAACTGTATGTGGCTCTTGGAAATCTGAAATATAGTATACAGCAGCTGAGGGGCTACTCTTAAATTTTATTTAATTTGATGCCAAAGCCACTCTAACTCAATGATTGGGAAAGTTAAGATGCATGTAATTTTGTTGGCCAAAGCAATCCTGTGGCCAAGCCAAAGGTTGACAGGTATGGGGAGGTGCCGTCCTCCCATAGATCAACGTCAGGAACACAAGGAGCAGAGTATTCTTTTCTTTTCTCCCCTCTTGTTTTCCCTCCTCTCTTCTCCTGTAAATGAACTTCACTTTTAAGCATATTTCTTCTAGATGCAGAAATTACATTTCAGGACATGCCGTGCCTTGGCTGTAGTGCTATCTGTTCGTTTGTAACCCTGGCAGCTTCATATCCAGCCCGTTCGGCTTTTGCAGGAGCAGGGGAGATGGAACATTTGTGACCCATCATGGAACTGGCTTCCCACCTCCGCATAGGACTTATGTGCAGGGACCTCTGTGGCTGACAGACAGTGTGATGGAGGCACTTCCTTTCCTGTCAGACAGCTTCACTACTCCTGCTGTTAAGCGTGGACCACAAAGGAACAAGGCACAGGCTACTTTCCGGACATATCCTTCTGAGACTCGGTGGTGAGGCAATACTAAACCCCAGCTAGATGACTGTCACTCTGCTCCACAGCACCCACAACTAATTCATAGTTGGTTTGATGATATAGGCTGAGGAGGAGGGAGGATATTCTGGGTATATTTCCTTTCCACAGAAAATCAGCTGACTAATCATGACCTCAATAAATCATAATCTCTCCTGGAGGGATAGGTAGTGTTTGATTTATTTAGTTTGTGGTAACGGTAAAATCTCTATGAATTCCATCTGTTTTCCTTTTCTCTTTCTTGGTTTCATCTTCTGCATCACTGTCTTCAACACCCCAGCAGCATGTGGGTTCTTTAGACAGCAAGATGTTATAGTCTTCACGAGCTCCATGAAAGTACAAAATCTTTTGCTCTTAAATTCCAAGCTCTCTTCTTTAAAAACTCCATTTTGTTACATGTGATTCTGGCATCTGCTTTGAAAGATCAAAAGCACAGACTTGAAATTATTTTCTCTCTTTTTTTTTCCTGTGTCATTTTTCTTTATTCTAGGACAGAATGCAGAAGATGCACTTGACGTATGGACAGGATGACTGAGACACTAAACTCTTTCTTTTATTTATTGAAATTTCAACAGCCACACACATTCAAGGGCCACTGTACTGAATAACACAGTTGTAAATGTGACAAAGTATTATGTTGTTTAAAGCCATAGAGTGGTCTTAATGGCTCACTGTGACTGACGAACACAAAGCCATGCTTATTAGGGTATTGGTGGCTTTTCATGTTGCTGTGAAGAAATATTCTGACCAAATTAAGGTAATAGAGTTAATTTGGCCTCACAATTTGTGGGTACAGTCCATCATAGCAGGGCAGACATAGCAATAAAACCTGGAGGCAGTTGGTCACACTGCATCTGCTGTCAGGAGGAAGAGAGAGAGATGGAGATAATCCTCAGCTCACCCTCTCTTTTATATACAGCCCAGAGAACAGTGGTGCCTACATTTAAGGTGGTTCTTCCTACCTTTGTCAACCTAAACATTCTCTTGCAAACATGCTTGTTTCTCTGGTGAATCCAGATCCTGTTAAATTGCTAATCACTATTAACCACATGGTCATTTTTTTTAAAAAAAAAACTCAAAATAGAAGTACTTTGATTATATAAACATGACATTGACATTGTAGCCACACACAGTCAATTACAAGCACAGGATGCCTTCATTGCTAATTGGCCAGAACTCTTGACCTAATAAGCAGAGGCTGAACTCACAATTAATTAAAGATTTCATGTTCATTCAGCCAAAACATGCCTCAAACCATCATTTGTTCCACTGGCCAGTGAGATACTTAGATCCATATTTAGGGCATCTTTCTACTGTAATCAACACACTGCAGAGTATCTCGGGTCATAGATGCTCTTTCATTTGTTTTATTATTATTATTATTATTATTATTATTTTATTATTATTTTCATAATAGGAATGATCTTGGATTTTCCCATTATGCTAACTTCCCTTGTATCTGTCACAGTGGACTATGTGGTGGTCTGTATGTAGTTGGATTTGGAAAACAGCATTCTTTCAATTCCATCTACCAAACAGCAGTAACTCTATTTAAGATGGGGAGACTAGAGAGAAGCTCAGCAGTTTTCCTAAACTTGTTTATTAGCTATGTGGAATTCTAGCGGGAAGACTCATGCTTGTTTGATCCAAAGTCTCTACTGCCCAATAACTCTGACTTGATATATAAAGATGACAGCTAATTGAGATCACACGTGATTTTCATTCTTTCTATTTTTACATTTATTTATCTATTTAGTGTGTGTGTGTGTGTGTGTGTGTGTGTGTGTGTGTGTATGTCTAAGACAACTTGCAGAATTACTTTTCTCCTACCACACATGTTTTACACATTGAACACAGGTTATCAGGCTTCTTTACCTGTTGAGCCCTTTGCTGTCCCCCTCATCTGCCACCTTCTAAGTCTAATAAGCCACAATTCCTACAACCAGCTGGCAGATGCCAGTGGGCTACACAGCTGATACCCATTCAGGTCTGATGGTGGAAAGGAGATGGACATAATTATGAGATTAGAATCAAAGTCATACAAGAAAGCTGTCTCAGGTTGGGGTAGTAGACAAGATGTCACTGATTCAATCCTATGTAAGCTTTTGGTTACCTACTGGGCTTGAAAAAGATTAAGGATGACATTTCGGGATGCATGCTATGCCTAGTTTGAAACCCCTTTGCTCCAAGCTTAACCTTGTGATTGAACACCAATAAGGTGACCTTATACAATTTAATGAACACATCCCCCCCTAGCATGTCTTCCTATGAATTCAGCACTGAAACATCTCAGATTCGTCTGCGATGCAGTAGGAGCTAGATGTTCACTCCAGCCAGATGTTTGTTGTTGTGTTGTTGGTTTCACCATTCAAGCACGAAAATATTTCCTTTTCTAGAAGGATAAAGCCTAAACACCTTGGCAATACTGTCTTTTCCCACCTCTGCACTAAAGCTGTCCTTACAAACTTTGGACAGAGGAAAGGTGGGAGCGGCAAACTACAAGTCCCAGCATGCACGGCGCATTCTGCACAGGCGCACGGGGACCACCCGGCCAGCTGGCTAGCCAGCCTGCGGAGACTCCCCGGTTCGCTCGCCGGGCTGGGGCTGGGGGCTTCAGCCTGGGCTGACCGCCGGGTGCCTAGGGCGGCCCCGGGCGTGGCACGGAGAAGGATGCGGCGGGCGGACTAGGCGGAGGTGCTCTCGGGAGGCTGGGCGCGGGCCAGGCGGCTCCCCAGGCTCCGCAGTGCCGCCGCCGTCGCCCGGGAGGCTGGGCGCGGGAGCCATGTAACCCTGCGGCGGGCTCCGGGCAGCTCCGTCCTTCCCCAGCTCCCGGGCTAGCGCGGCAGCGGGGCCACGATGAAGAAGCAGTTTAATCGCATGCGCCAGTTGGCCAACCAGACGGTGGGCAGGTAGGTCACCCGCTGGCCGCCCCGGGCCGGCACGCCCGCTGGGTTGCATCTGCCAGGCGCAGGTGATGGAGCTGCCCGGCCTGGAGCTTGTGCGTCCCTCCTGGGTCCCCGCGGGCCGGCTGGCGCGACCTTTCCTTTCCTGACCCCGACCCCTGCTCGCTTCCCGCCCGCCGCCGGTCTGGGCTTGGGTTGCCCAGCTCAGAGAGTGACGCATCCTTCACCTGCGTCCCTAGCTGCCCCTTCACCTCGCCCTCTCTGCCTTTCCACGGGATTCCCTTTTCCTCTGGTAGCGATTCTTCCTTGGAAACAGGTGTTTGCTCTTCTGGAGCTGCTGGTTGTTAAGTCTCTGGCTGCCACGGAAGAGCCCTTCCTCCTTACGCCCAGTTCAGGGCTGCTTAGGGTCCTGAGGTAGTGCTGGGCCTGATCGATACCCTCCTTCCCCACTCCGAGCTGTGTTTGTTTTCAGGGGCTGATGCTGGATCACTTTCCTGGCTGTTTTTTCCTCAGCGTTTGGGGGTGGGGAAAGGATGGCTGGGAGGGGTAAGGTGCTGGTGGCATGGCGCTGCTGTAGGCTCGGTCCCAAGACTTATTTCAATGGAGGGAGGGAGGGAGGCTGCGAAAGTGAGGCTCAACTCCCTTTGAAGATGAGGGAGGATCAGAGAGGAGGATCAGAGGGTCTCAGCCAGGTAGAGGATGGGGACAGTCTCCCCTCCCTCCCAGTTCAGAGCAGCTCGCCCCAGGAATCTGCAGGACCCAGACTGCTCTCATCTTGGTGAACATGGACTAGATCTGGGCCAGTGTCTCCAGGAGCGGATCTGTGGGGTGCCAAGATCTATTAAGGTTACATAAGGATTCTTAGTGGGTCCCGTCCAAAGCTAGACATTCTTGAAACACAGGCTTGTTAGATAGAGGGGATTTTTCATGGAATCTGTGTGCCCAGGGCAGGATTTCTGTGTGGTTGTCAAAGGAATTCAGGTGTGCAGTTTAAAGTAATCAGAAAGCGAAGAGCCTAGCCTTGGGTGCAATTCAAGTGCAAGCTCCACACACAGAGTGCTCTCTGCCAGGTTTGTTGAGAAACCAAATACCTTTCTTGGGTGGGAAGTGGAGCCTGAACTGGCACCTGCTAGGATGGGGGTAGGGACTTTCCTGGAGAATAGAGGACATGATGGAGGCATACTGCCCTAGTTACAGTGGGCATTTGAGGGCAGGGGATGTGGTGGCTTCTCATGCTTTCAGGAACTCCAGATGGTTTCCAAGTAACCTAAGCGTTTCCAAGCGTCTAAACTAGACTTGGATTCATTTTCCTTCCCCAAACACATGTGCTTTAACATGAGGGGGAATTTATGAATAGCAGAGTCAGATTAGCCCAGATTTTTGGCAAGGTATTGCCACAAATATAGCCTCACGTGGACTGTCTTTGGTATGTTGGATGCTGAGATAGTGTTTTCCTGGTACTGGGGGGTGAAGCGGTTGGTTGTCAAGCTGACCATTCCTTTACTGTTTTGGCTTCTGGATCACTCTCTGGGATCTGGCATACGTGATGGCATTAGACATCCCGGGGATCAGTAGGCCCCTCACTCTGACCACAAGTTGCTGTTTCCTGTGGAGTATTCTCAGTCCACTCAGTATCCCAGTGTTCTCTTGGAATGTTAGATTGGTGCTAGGATCTAAATGTCTCCGGGAAGGCATTCATGCTACCTTCATGACTCCTGACTCATATCTTCCTTCAGGACTTGTTTTTAAATTGTGAGATTTTTGAGCCCTGGGCATAGGAACTGTATTTTTCACTTTCATTTATGGGGGAAATGAAAAAACAAAAGGCAAAAGCAAACTGGATTTTATTTTAAATTGGTCTTATGTATTCAAAGAACATTCTTAGAAGTACAAATACTGAGGCTGCACCCTGCTTACCTGCTGGAGCTGCTGAGGTCTTAGGTGAATGACCAACCTGTACAAAGTAAGGCCTGACTTGTATCTGTCTTGATGAAGTTCAGAGTGAACCCTTAAAGCAAACGTTTTCTTTACTGCTTCAACACTCCCAAGGCCATCATTCTGCTTAGTATTCCCAGCATTCCAGTGACCTATACAACCACATCCCTTTGGATCTCCCCTTTGTGTGAACATGCTCATCTTGTCTTCCCTTCTCCCTGTCCCTGAACTCCTGTGCTTCAGACACATCAAGCCCAACTCCACTTTAGGGCTTTGTTCTTGCTGACCACCTGGTTTGCTACCTGGTTGAGGATGTGGTCTTCCCAAATTGCTTTCTCATCAATCTTGACTTGGCTCACAGGCTCAGGTAAGCCTCCTCTCCCCTCATTTTTACCCATCATCCTTTTCATTTTTGCCCACTACTCTCCACTGTTTGAAAGCTTGTCCTTTTTTGGTTTTTGCCTGCCTGTCTCCAATAGAATGTATTGATCGCCCTTGCATGCCAAGGGCATGCAGCAGTGCCTTGTAGACGGTTGGTGCTCAGTCAATATTTATTGCCAAGATTAAAATGGTTTACTTCTGGCCAATGATGGGAATGAAAGCAGGTAGCATGGGGTTCTTCCTATTGGGAATGTTGAGAGACACAACACTGTGCATCAGGAAAGGGGCCATGATTTGCTTCTTAATATCTTCATTCACTAACAGCTCATAGTGTTGGAAGTCTGGATGGTAGGTGTGTTGTCATAAAGTGCTTTGTAGAGTGGCCTTAACATACACTCAAATCTTACCATTATGGTTTTGGAAGTAGTGAGTTCCCTCTTTCTGGTAGAGAGGTGAGCTTCAGAGCTGCTCTTCTCCATAGTGCCTCACTTTCTGTAACTCACAGATTTCCAGATTATTCGGAATGAAAAACTTCTGGGGATTGGCTTATTTTCTTTGAACAATGCAAGGATTGCCCTCCTTACATGTGCTCTCTGGTTCTTAGTACTTTGTCTTGAATTGGGCATATCTAAGTAGAATGCAGCCACTTAGCATAGCAACTATAGGAAGAGGTGATATATGCTTTGTTGGTAAGGTGTTAGTCTAGCATGTATGGAGCTCTGGGTTCAATCCTCAGCCCCACATGGTGATACATACCTGTAATCCACCTGGAGGTAGAAGCAGGAAGATGACATAGTGAGTTCGAAGCCAACCTGAGCTACCTGAGGCCCTGCTTTGGACATCTTCTCCAGGCAGAGCATGTGTCTCTGCCTTGATTTTTCCCATACCTGTTTCTTCACTTTTGACCCTTCTCTGGAAAGCTCTCCCTGGCCAGCCTGTGCCTATTGGCTAGGAACAATGATTATCGAGTGGGGCACATTTGCTTGGGTGCTTAATGATCTTGAGATTAACTTCCCACACATTTTTTTTTTTTTTAAATTGGTAAAATGGGAACAATGAAGGTTGCCCTGTGGATATAGGAATTGTAATGATGGTGGAGTTACCCCAGAAAAATGGTGAACAGTCGCTTCAGGACCTTTGGGCCAGCACTCTAACTCTTTTTGGATGGCATGCTTGTGCTTGGTCATTCAGTGTAAGATGATTGGCTGTCTCCTGTGGGCCAGACATTGCTCCACTCTGGGAATATTACAGTGCCAGGCAAACTGAAGTTCTGCTCGCTAGAGTCTGAATTCTAAGGGTGTGCTGTACTTTTAACAGTTCATTTGGAGTGTGATCTTTAACTTGTTGATCATCTCCCCAGCTTGATTTTAAGCTCCTCTGGAGGCAGAGACAGTGTGGCATACAGAGGGTTCTCTGAAAATCCTTGGCAACTGGATCAGAAAATATATGCGTTGTAAGTAGAGGACTCACCGAAAGTAGTTCCAAGATTCAAGGAGAGCACCTGATGCTGCTTTTTTTGATTTTTGTAATGGCAGTGATACCTAGAAGAGGGAGAGCCAGCTGCTGCTGGACTATGAACTCGAAGGAGGTCTTAGCTTATGCCTCATGTATGGCACCATTTTCTTTCTGTTGTTGTTGTTAAATCTTCAATAGGGTCTAGGGTCTTCTGGGGTGCTACCCATCCTGAGAGACTGTTCTTCTTGGAAGTGATACCTGGTTTGTCTTGGGCGAAACACAGAGCTGAGTGGAAACTTTAGCACCCAAGAGACCCACAGGGTGAAAGAGAAGATGCAAGAAGCGAAGTCAGCCCCTGTTAAGGACTTGTTTTTCAGTCTGTAGGTGGAGCACAGCAAGCCCCCATCTTGGAGGGCTGGGATGAGGTTGAAGGGAGTCTGGCGTGGTGAAGGGCTCACCAAAATGGACCATGAGGTTCTGATCATTTTCCTTTAAGGCTCACCCAGTCTTTGGAAAACATTAGCCTTCTATGTACACAGTCTTAGAAATGAATTCTAATGGTAACTGCCCAATGGCTCTTCATGGGGTCTGCCCTTGTAGGAAAGTGGGTAAAGCCCAAGAGGAGGCAAGTAGCAATGGGCTTGTAGGTGGCACCATAGTAGGTGAGAGCAAGGCTGTTTGGGTTGCTCTGGATTATGTGGGTTTAGAGGTGCTAAGTTGGGAGGGGGGGGTGAAAGAACAAATTTTGTCTCTAGAGCTCTGCTTTCCGTTCCTCGACTGCTAGTGTGCATGACAGAGCTGAGAGGGCTTGGTTTCTCCTGCAGCCTTGCCAAGCCTCGCTGCTGCAACAGCAGCATAGCCTGCACAGTTGAACTGCAGGCAATCAAGGTATTGGCCAGTGGTCCCTAGCTCAGTGTGAGGCTGCAAAGCCTCTAGGAGCTCTGCTATGGCCTCTATTTCTGCTCTGGCTAATGTTGCTGAGGACCCTTAGCCTGAAGCCACTTCTTGTCCTTCAGCAGGTCTCTGAAAGCCATCAGCCAATCAATAGGATCAGAAGGGAAAGTCAGAACACGTCTAGATTAGTCATCACCTGCTTTTGCAAAAGCTGGCTGTGATTTAGACTTCTCAGACCAATCCAGGCTTCTGCAGCCTCTTTCTATGAGTGCAGCGGGGCTCCAGACCAGAGACTCCTCAAGTTCTTCAATAGAATCCTGGGAGACCAGGCAGGACCTCCT